GGAGTCGCGCCGCGCCGTTTCCGTCACCCCCGCGTCGTTGAATTCACCGCGCGGTCGTCGATTCCTTTCTATTTGTGGCACTCTTCCGGGTCCTCTTCGCCACCCTTTTCTACTTTTGCCTTATCACGTTCCATTTTATTCCCCGCGCTCGCACCATACCGTATAATTCAATTTAACTTCATTTAATTTAGTCTCATTTCGCGCGCTGCCCTATCCTATTCCACTTTACCTAATTCTGTTTCATTTCGGCCTCTCATTCCCCCCATTTTATTTTAACTGATTTTATTTTGGCCTGTTTTGTCCCCCGCTTTATTCGATCCGCGTTTGATTTGAATGTGTTTTATTTTATTCCACCGGCGCGCGGCGCACACCAGCACACCGGTCGAAAGGACGAAAGGGAGAAAGAGAATTACTATCCTCTCGGCATTATTATATTCGAGTACAATAAAACGTCGATTATTGCATACGACAATTAAATTAGTTACATTTTTTTACGGTTGCACGTCGATTGCACGTCGTTTTTGCGTTCCGCGCGCGGTGCGGATCGACGAAGCTTCCCTGCCATTTAACAACGTTAATTTGTGCAAACGCAATCGTCGTTTAATTCATCTACCTGCATCGCGTAATTATTCCGGAATTCTTTTTTCTCTCTTTTCCTCTCTTTCTCTCTCTCTCTCTCTCTCTCTCTCTCTCTCTCTCTCTCTCTCTCTTTCTCTTTTCCCCTCTTTCTTTCTCTCTTTCTCTCTTTCTCTCTTTCTGCAGTTTATGTCCGGCAACAGAGCGACAATTTCGAAAAGATCGGGTCTTGCATTCGACACTTCTGGATGCGGGTTTGGCGGTGGCGTTAACGATCGCCCTGCGGAAACGCCCAAAGGCGACGGCAACCACGTTTCGAATCTGACGCGCACGCACGCACGCACGTACGCACGCACGCACGCTGACACGCACGCGACACCTCACCGCTTTTCGATTGACACGCGCATCGTTATGCATACCGTAACGCCGAACACCGTAGGAGCTGTCGAAGTGGGGCCGGGGTAACAAGTCAATTCGCCAACGACTTCGTCACCCCGCGCCGCTTCCCGTCAGGTGGGCGAGGAGATAATAGCGGAGCTATAATTCCACGTTCACTCCGTTCCCGGCGCGTGGTCGAGTCAATCGAGATCGTGGGCGACGAAATCCAACGGGGAGACGCATGTCGGCATGTCTGCGTTTTATTTTAATCGGCCGGCTAATCGCCGGGCATTTCAATGACGATTTTCGACGAAGGGGATTAAGAAAGTACGACGAACTGTATATTTTACACGATTGGATTTTCACGAAAATCCGAACGATCGTCAAGTTCATATTGTCAGTGGCGTGCGTTTAATGAGAGATAAATATTGACGCAGTTAGTTAATATTAATCATTTTCGTTACGATGCACTTTCGCTTATTGAATATTTAACGCGTTAAATGAACATGCAAGGTTGTGCAAAGAACGGAGTAATTTTAACAGTTTTCCATCATCCATCTGTACAGTTTTTTTTTTTTAATAACGTAAATAAATTGTTTGGAAAATGAGTCAACTATCATCCTCAAGATATATCCTCAACATTTATACTTGCAGCTTGTTTTTGCAAGAAATTCAAAAGTCCCAAAAAATTATTAATTAACTTTTTTTCTTTAATTATGCCATTATCTCGATAGACTCTGAAAGGAAGGGACAGAGCATATTAATTCGTATATCAATCTTGTGATCGGAGGCCTTTTAAGGGCCATAAATGCCGTAATATAATGAAAAACGCTCGACCCTTCTTGTATCCCTTGGACGTATATAACTTTTCCCCCCCCGTATTCAGATAACTTCGGAGTAGGACATAATATAAAATAATGACGTTATTGATATCGACGATAAGCGCCACCCGACAGTTTAAAGGACCCCAACGACCGAATATTGAGCCACCCCTGTCTGATTCCTCCCCTAACATCGTCTGCTCGCGACATAGCTTCACATTCACAAAGAACGTCTCGTCACGCTTTCTTATCCTTTAAAACGTCGTAAATGATTTCCTGCTCGGATAATCTCCGATATCTCTACATTTGTTACAGTTAATTATAACGGCACTCGAACCGATAAATCAATTAGGACTAATTAAATTATTAATTTGCTTGTGTCACCTAAATTTCTATTATTTCACATAAAAGAGACGTCAAATATCGATATCTGATCCTAAGTGACATTTTATGATATTTAACCTAGCTGTCATGAATATTGATTTACTACCCGAAAACGTGAATTAATTACTAACAATAAGTGCAAAGCTTAATATATTACTCAATTTTCAGGTAATACAATATAAATATATTGCGCTACGAAGATAGCTACTGTCTATATATAATCTCTATTTTAGGTTGCAGGGGAGCTTTTCTCCGTAATTGCCTGATATTACAAAACTTAGTTCGAATTAAATCAAAATTCAGGTCGCACAGATGGCGAAAGGAACTCGCGCATTAACATTTACCGCGTTGCAAAAAAAAATTGCATTTTTATTAAGAAAGGTATTCAGAGGCATGATGTATGTCATCGATTTATCGTTATATCTAAAGATTTCGCCAGATATATTTTTTCATGCTAAACTGAAGTGAATTACATCATAGACATAAGGAGCACAAAAAACTAGGACGATTTTTTAAAATATACCATGTTTGTTCGATGAATGTTGCGAATATAGATTAATGATTTTCTTGTTAAACGAAATAATTCGAAAGCAGATAACTAAACATTCATTTTTAACTATTTTCGCGTACTAAAATTGAGCCGATGTCGGATATTTATTTTAAATTATCCTCACAGATGACTTGTTTAACGGGATGTCGGGATAAATAAATTTACTTTACAGCGTGAATAATTTGATAGAAAAGTGATACATTATTGCTTTTGTGCCAATTAAATCATTCAACTTTGTCACGCCGTAATTTCCTCGCGAACGACATCGTTCCGCGGATCGTGGTTCGACACGAGGGCAAGCGGGGAATTCTCTCATTCGTGAAAAACCGTAATAGCGCGGACAGGTGTTACGTTTACGTGTGACTCGAATTGCCGCAGGACGAGAGAGAGAGAGAGAGAGAGAGAGAGAGAGAGAGAGAGAGAGAGCAGAAATTTTCTCGTTCATTCGTTCGTTCGCGAGGCTCGTAATAGCGCGAGCAGGTGTCGTATTATACGCTCCTGTGTCTATCGCCCACCCTTAAGGCATCGTGACTTCGCTCAGTAAGGGCGAGACTATTACTACGCAGGGTTGGATTGGATACGGGGGAAAAAAGCCCCGGCTTCCAGGACATTAGATGATCGCGCTCGTTATTTTTTTCCAACCGGAGCCTTCTCCGCTGTATTATCTTGGCCTACCGTTGACGCTTCGTCCCTCTCTTTCTCTCCTTCGTCTCCCTTCGGAGGTACCTCGTAAGACAGATGACCTGGTCATTTCACGCGAGCCACTAAATACAGGGTGTGTCCTATCGATATAACATGGGATACGTAATACCGCGGAATGCGCGGTAACCATTCATCTCTCTCTTTCTCTCTACGCGACTCTTGAAACGACTGTTTGAAAGAGAATTCGATTTCGTGCTCTCGCCGAAGTTAACGGGCCACAACGTTTTGCGCATCTCTCCTGCGGTAGATCTTGCACGGCTTGCGAAACTGGCTCACCGTCTCTCCTCACGTCGAACTTCAGAAAGTCATTTAATAATTAATTTCTAATTAATTTCGAGACATTTGCTAATTGACTTCTTACCTCGGTCGAAAAAGCCGATCTCCTCGGGATCAACCTTAGGACTTTCGACGTTGAACATTCCTGGTAATTGAAACTGCGCTAAAATTGCTTCAGATCGGCACCTCGACGGTGCATAAAGCAAAAGTCATTATTATCCATTAGTTTATGCAATCTATATTTGAATTTTCAAGGCTGAGAGTCAGCACACAACTTCGCTCTCGCTCAACTTTCCGCGAAAGAAAAGTTGATCCACAAATTTGCCGAGAACATCATGCTCCTCCAAGTTTGATGTAAACTTTATGAAACACCCCGTATACCAGCTAGATCCCGGTGCCTCCAATTTGTTTTCTCATGAATACTTTCCTCCGATCCTGGCGACGACGGCGTGAATGCACCGCTTGCGCAGTCGCACTCGCAATAAATACAGACAGTCGTCAGGAATGTCTGTGGATGAGAGTTTTAGGGTAGACCTCGATCACTATCTTAATTTAATTTCCATTAATTTTAATGGACATTTGTACGAAAGGACAAAGACCAGAATTGTAAAAAGGAAGGAATATGAGTTGATAAAATTCACATTTTCTCACAATTTATTAAAGTGACATTATTACATCAATAATACATAATGAAACAATAATATCATGAATTATAGAAAGGCTTTCGGACTCTTCTCAACCCACGAGCAAAAGTTCTAAAAATTTCGAGAGAAAAGCTGATATATCCAATAGCGTTACAAAACAAAACGTGAGATCGAATCGCGCTCCTAAATTCCGCATCAAATATATTCTTCATTGCATCACATTTCTCTCTAATACTACAATTACATAGATTAAAGTTTCAACTGCTTCGCGATCAGTCGCTCGAAATAGAGCGACAGCAATCAATTCTTAACGTTACCGGTCGTCTAATTTAGCTCCAACTGGCGTTATTTCGCGATGTCAAAATCAAGCGAGCAGCTAATGGGACATCGAGCATCAAAATACAAAGGAGCCAAACGACGATCCGCCTCGACGTTTCGCGTCGAGGGAAAGCTCGCGTTGAATCTCGCAGCAAGATAACGGGGGTATATGTACGTCGTCGGTCAATTCCGGGACACCCTATGGCGCGCCCCACGCACGGACAGCCCTGCGCGGCAGCGCGCTCGGCACGTTCTCCGCCACCGCCGCCGCCTCCACCACCACCGCCACCACCGTCGGCATAGGGGGTTGTACATCGCGCGGGCATCGAAACGCGTCGAAACGCGAGGCGGCCGGATCGGACTGACACGCGAATCGATCGGCGCCCCGTCTCTCGCGCGCGTCGTCGTCCTCTCTCTCGCGCGCGCGGCGGGTTATAGCGGCGTGCCCGCGCGACGAGGAAGCGTGCAGCGCAGCGCAGCGCGTCGCACGCGACAGCACGCGTCGCGGAGAACGAGGTGTTTCGCCGTCGGGTACGAGGGTGTGCGAGGTAGATCGTGGGAGCGAGAAGCGCGGCTGCTCCTGCTCGCAACACCGGCTGAAGCCGTCGCGCCGCGCCTCGCGCCTGAAGGCGAGAAATTTCGTGAGAAATTCAGCCGGTGTCGTCGACCCGCCACTGCCAACGCCGCCGCCACCGCCGTCGCCGGTCCGCGATCGGACCGCGATCGTTATCGAGATTTTCCCGCTGCGAGTGAGTGCGAGATCGCCTGGGGAAGAGCGTGAGAAACGGCAATTCGCCGATGGGAACGTCGAGATTCAGCGTCGGTAGCCGGCCCGGTTAAAACGAGATGAACGGTTCGCCCCGAGGTGCGCGTGTGTGATCGGTACTTCCATTGACTGATTTAAAAAAAAAGGGTAATCCCTCACAGGAGCACGGAAGTTGGGACTGGAATTTTTTGGAGGGGAAAACTTGCGAGCGCGATCGGCCGTGCGCGATTGTCCGGTATCTGCTGCGAAAGAAATCGTTGGGCTCTTATCAATTACTGTTGTCGAGGGGCAAGACGAAAAGAAGATGGAAAAGTGAAACCCCCAAATTGGTCCTAAATTAGCCGTTGAATCTTTGAGAGAGGTTCAACGAAAGCGGGGAAAGGGCAGAGAAACGAGAACGATCGTGTATGACTAACTACTGATGCGGTGAAATTTTCACTGTCAAGAATAAAGCAGAACGATTTGCGTCAATGAAAAACGGAACCGTTGTCGAAAAATAGAGTCGATTAACTCGAAAGCGAATTTCGCGAATCCACCTCGTCGGTTTCGACGATTTTGCCGTTTTTTACATGTGTTTTATATCGTCGTTTTTTTTACGGGCGATAGCACCCCTATACATCTTACATTTTTGACGGTCTTTTCTTCGCGGAAAAAGGAAATCCACGAAATAATACGAGGGGGAATGATCGATCACGGCGGAAATTGAGGACCGGTGGAGCAACAACGGAAGTATCGTGCGTGTGTCGAAGTGCACGCCTCGTGCAGCGCGGGTCGGCCGATCTGTCATCGCCATTGTCGAATCGCCTAACGGCGGCCCTAAGCCCCCGCAGGGAGGCAGCCCCAGAGAAGGACGATAATCCCCGCGGAGAAAGGCGGTGCTTCGTCAGGACGCGTTGCGCCATTTCAGGTGCGAGCCTCGAGCCTTCCGCTCGAGTGCTTCAGCGTGCCTCGGCTGCTTTAGGCGAGAGAAAGAGAGAGCTTGCTTTCTCTCTCGCGAATCACGCGGCGAAAGAAAGCGTTCAACGGACATCAAAAGACCCGGTGATTAATGAACGCGGGTAATTAAGAAACATTAAGGAGAAGGCTGCCGAAGGACTCTCCTCGAGATCCTCGTACTATTCGGAGAGAGCGTGTCGCCCTCCCCTTCCCCCTCCCGCCCCCGTTGCGCCCACCACCTCGAGAGGATCCTCGCCGGAGGACATCGCCGCGGGGTTGACGGTGGGAGGAGGCCGTCTACCTTCGAGGTAAGAGAGAGAAAGAGAGAGAGACAGAGAGAGAGAGGGAGGGCAGGAGAGAGGAAAGGAGAGAGAGAAAGAAGAGGGGTGGGAGGCCTTTAGGGGTGGAAAATCGTTGGAGAATACCGTCGCGGTGAAATCACTCCTCTCGAACGCTCGCGAGACGATCAGACCGCGAAGCATCCCCCGCCGGGGGCCCGTCCTGCTCCCTTGCCTGCCTTTCGCCCCCCCTTCGCCCTCTCGCCGCTTGGCTGGAAGTGGTGGAAGTGGATGTCTGATCTCGGACGGAATGACAATAAGACTCTCCTTTGATTAATCGACGGAACAGACAGAAAGAGAGAGGTAGAGACGGAGAAAGAGAGGGGATATAAGTGAGAGAAAGAGAGGGAATTAGTCCTCTCGCGAGACGACGGATTGTTTTGCAAGTGCTAAGAAGTTCCGGCTGTTAACACAGAACTGACTGAATATAACTCGAATCGAGTAACTTGGACATAAATCTACCGACTTGAAACCGAACGACAATTTGAATAGCGCCGTGCATTGAGACGTCACGTCTCCCCATTAAGGCCGACAAGATTGTTAAAATGTATTAACACACCAACAACCCTCTCTCGCGATAACAAGAAGGTATTCCCCGGTATCGACCTGTGGATCGTCCGGAACGTTTCAACGTGATAAGATACGTGTCGGAGTGTAACGAGTGCAACGATTAATCAACTGATTAACGATTGTCCCTCCCCGACTTAAAGGATAAAGTTGCTCGACTAATCCTTTCGTTGCATCCGGCCGTCGAGGAACTTTCCAGACATAGAGCAGCGCGCGCGAGGGGCAAGGCGCGCGACAATAACGCGAATGAATTTGGGAGGAGACGGGATAAGTAGAGTGGATCGAAATTAGAATCGTGTGCAGCCCAGTGGAAGAGGGTCGGCGCTTGATCAGGCGGACCGGCCGACCCAAGCCAAGCTCACAAGCTGCACTACTGAAAAGAACTCATTTACTTAAAGAGATCGTTCGCATTACGGCCCCTCCGTCTCTGTAAAATTGTGTGTTACACAAGTCGCGGAGAATGATTGGACGAGGCGCGTCTCTATCCGCGAAACGCGACAATAAGACGTACACGCGACGCGTTAACAGTAAAATAATTTGTAATAATCGATCATAAAGCGACGAGAAATATCGACGGAATTCCGATGCCGGCCGGATGTTTTCAAATGTCCATCTTTATTTGAGCCGGCGACAGGCGTCAATTTGAACGGTGAGTAATCTGCGCCTCCATGCATCTTCCTGGACGAGTGACGAATGCGCCGGGGCGTAATCGACAACGATAAGCGAATACGTTAACAAATCGCAGTGTGGACAACGGGAGAATTTGCGCGATCGGGAAAGGACGGACAGTAAGGTGGGCTGCGTGACGAAATCCTATTATCGACAAAGAAGAGTTTGATGGGCATGAGAAAAATAATGGTAATGTAGCAGCTGCAGCAAGAGAGCAATTGTACACCCTTAAATCCGAGGACAATAACGTTAAGCGGAGGGTAATCAAAGGCAACCACGTGAAAACAACGAGTAACAACCGCTGTTGAACTCGATATCGCGACGTAATAAAAAAAGACGACGATATATTTTAGCAACGAATCGATCGGGGAAAGGATAAAAATAGTGACAGTAATAGGTGCGAGAACGTTATCCTGAAATATTAAGTCGATGCAAAAGGTTTGTCCGTATATGACTTCTTATTTGTCTCTAGACATTATTTCTGACATTCTTTATTGCCGATTTTATCAATCTTAATAATTGCACGAAAATTCTCAAAAATTTGCAAGTTTAAGTATTATTTGTAAAAATTGGTAAAAATAAATTTTACGAAGGACTTTGCTTACCAACAAAATTTTACTATTTAAAAACATTTCTTTCTTACTTATTAACGCGCAAAATTTGATACAATTAATATAACAATTTAAAGAATAGCGCAATATGTATTTTGACATTCTAAAGTAACAACGAAAGGCCCGGCAATCCTTTTGCGCTGATTTAGCAGTGATATACAGTACAACGAGACTCGGACTATAGTCCTTATAAAGGGCACAGTGAAGGCAGTGCGGATTTGTCAGCCAGGCACTTCGATGCGCCTCGACAGCGGACGAGCTTCGAGCTTGAAGGATCCACGCGCGAGTCGGTGAGTCGGTGTCCTCTGCGTGTTCGTCGTCCCTGCACGCGCGCGGCCGGGACATAAGGAGCCGGCGGAGGCAGGTCCTTCCCGGTGTGGAATGACAATAAGGGGGCGCCGTACCCGCGGGGTGGTATTATGCAGGGGACGACGGATTTGAGCGTGCCACCCAAGTGCCCGGCGAAGGTGTCGCATCCCCTTCGTGGGATGGCACTCGGAACGCTGGCCGAGATAGCGGTGAGACTCGTGATTAGCGGCTACATATTCGCCGTGGTCGTCTACGTGAACGCCAGCGGCAACTGGGATAAGGACGATGACCTAGGTACGGCGGCGGCGAACTCGAGCACGAACCGGTCGCACGAACGATCGAGATTAACCACTTCCCTGACCCGCGCGAGCGATATATACGTATTCCTTTCGAGCGTGTCCCGAAATTACCGCGGTTATCCCCCTGGACTGGAAATCAATTTTCCCGATATTTTTCATTAACAAAGGAGATACGAGAGGTGTCGTCTCATTGCATTTTCTAAAATTGAAAAGTATAACTTTTTAATTGTGTCACGTTTTCCTGATGGCGACTCGAGCCTCAAAAGTCCGTTAAAGTAACATTCATTTAAAGTTACAACTCGTTATTTAATAACGAGAAATAATGTTTATCGATTCTTCGAACCTTAATTTCTGAAATTGGAGATACGTGTTTAATTTAATTTAGAATGAAGAGTTCTTCAATTGCTAAATTACTCGAAAACTATCGGTACCTCAATATTCTCGTTGGGAAATCGATATTCATAAGTCGGAGGAAATTGTAGCTGAAAAAAACTCATTTTGTGATTTTTGGGCACAAAACGGTCGTTTGTTATTTGTTTCTTTTTTTTTAACGAAATGTGAAAATGTGATAAAAACCGAGTAGGTTATAAAAAGAAGCGTATATGTGAGCGCGTATGTGTTTCACACAAAAAATATATTTTATTTCGAGCGTTATTAAAAAAGAGAAGGAAGAAGAGAAAATTGAATAATAAAAAAACAGAAAGGATGTTTTTTTGCGGTCGGTTTCCCGCAAAAATACCTGGGGAGGGAAGTGGTTGTGAAGCTATACGCGGTTAACGATTCCCGCTGCTTTTCCGTAGATCGTATTATTATTTCGTTGTGCGCGATATATCGCCGAAGATTAACAAAGAAGGAAAATTTTCCTTGATCAGAGCCCCACAATGGGTCCCTTAATTCTGCTGGTAGCTTCGTTTGCCGTGCACACTCAGCATGTCCGGCGCAGAATGGAACTCTATATGGCTTTTGTGCGCAAAATGGAACCCAATACGTATTTCATAAATGCATATTGAAAAGTGGAAAACTGACAAAGTCATGAAATTGAAAACTGTTAGAATCGATATTTACAAAGTTATCATTTTTAAAATAAAACTGGGTCAAAAACGCAAAAGCAAGGCTGAATGTGCTCCCTTAAAACGCGGTGAAATAGTAAATAAGTTGCCTGTTAATGCATATATACGGTTAATGCCTTGATGAAAAGTGCGAGGCTTTTACAAGTTTTGAATTTATAATCCATCCCGCTTACAGCCGTTTGAAAATTTTTCACTCAATTTTCAGCTTTTTTTCGTAATTACACGAAAACGGCCATATCTCTTATCTCAAACTTTTATATTCACAGCTATTTTCCAGTTGCATTCGCGCCTTGTCAGTTTTTTATTTATAATCTTCGAAATGCCTTCCGCATAAAAAATGACACGCGTTTAAATAGATGGAACAGATAATAATCGCGCTGATACGATGCTAAAAAAGATAAATGGCTCGTGGCATGTACATTTTTCATCGGGGCGTCACAAACAAACGTAAAAGCGATATCCTGCCGGAAGAGTTCGTATTCGTGTTACAGACGTCGTTCGATTGATGAAAATTGCGGCATATCGGAAAACGGGAAATCAGACGCGCCAGCTTGTTGCAATACCGGAAATCACTCGGAGCGTGAAACTTGCTCAAAGAAATGTTATGCGCGACGTAATTATATTTCGCGCTGCCGGATGGAAACTCTCCATTATGCGCGAAAACGAACTTCATTAGTGATATTTTTCAAGCTGCTTTCCCGTCTCTTTATTCGTAAGAAGCAAAGCAGCTTCCTTTTTATATGTCGCGCGCGGCAAAACTCTTTCTCGCGTCAAAATGGAATGTTAAATTGGAGGGAAATGTCTCTTTTAAGATATCTACACATCCTCGAAGCGACTCTATTTCGCGAAACGCGTAATGATATTACTCGCTCGTAGTTCAAGATCCTCACACACAGCTGCGTTACTCCAGGGTAATTTAAAATCACGCCAAACAATGGGAGCAAAAAAAATTTAATCTCAAGTTTTTCGCTGCTAAATCTCGTTTACCTGAATGGCTTGTGAGTTTAGTTTACTTATAATACTTCCTACTAACTTAATAACTTTCTACGTTCTTTCGTGACATAAAAGCTGGCGTTACAGCTCATTTAACTTATTAACCATATAATTAGCAATTCAAAAAACGTCGTAAGTTACTAAAACATAATGGTCTTTGAATTTACATTTAAAATTCAAAATTACATAATATTAAATAATACCTCCGTGCATTCGACAGAATTATTAACTCAATTATTAAGCGACCCGTAATGCTTGCCTCTAAAGAAAACAGACGAGGTATTGTAAGTAAAATTATTTAGCATTCAAGTTAATGAGATTTAACCAAGAAAGAAAAGTCGCACTGTTGTTTACAGCAAGCTTCAAAGAAACCATTAAAAATTAGAAAAATTGAAAAGATTTCGTGATTCCCCTTCAATCTTAATTTCAACCATTTGAACTATCGATTGAAGAAGATTATTTACTGCTCAGAGAAGTTATTAAACCACTAATTACTGTGCAATAATATCCTTTCGTAGATAATCTTTGGCTGTCTTTATCAATCACGTTGAATATGCCACGCAAGTGATATTTTCATCTCGGTTTAAAAAATTTATCTGAACCTTTTTTTTGTGTGCACGCGTTCAATACGTTTAACCCTTAAATGCCCCCTGGGGTCTAGCGGACCCCAGACCCTTTACAATGATATATATTTTCAAATGTTCTTGCCAAAAATGGAGCTCATGCTTCCATTGATGATAGTTAAATGATTGACCTACCCGTTTGTACACTTAGCAGTACTCAGTTTACTTAATTTTTTATACTATGTTGAAATTGAAATTTTAACAATATAAGCATTTTATTCTCTTTTCTAAGCCTTGAACAACATTGAAAAAAATTTTCATAACTAAAGATAAAAAAATCAATGAGTAAGGAGACATTTTTCATGCTGGGGTCTTTTAGACCCCTCATGTCATTTACGAGATTCTTGAGAGGTGTGGCATTTAAGGGTTAATAAATAAACCCGCTGATAATAATAAGTGCATGGTAAATAAATGTTGCGTTTGATAGATACGCTTGCTGCTTTATTTAATTAAATTTAATTTAATTCAGCTATATATAAACCGCGATAAGACACGCTAGCGTCACGGAGTCATTTCGCCGGCAATTAACGCGTTAACCACCTTTCTTCAACGTGTCTCCAGTGTCCACGTCTAAGGTCAGCGCCGTACTTGGCCGTACCGCCACTTTGCCTTGCGACATTGAGCCGTCCACGCGAGAGGATCGCGTCTACATGGTCCTTTGGTTCCGCGATTACGCGGTGAAGCCCATATACAGGTAAGCGCAGCTGGGCCACCTAGGAAAGCTTTTGAAGAGAGAGGAGGGCTCCTCAGGGCTCAAAAACACGTTAGAAAGAAAGAAAAGAAAATTCAGAATTATTCGCGAATTACTTAGAGAAGTGGGGATGAAATGTTACGCAGTTTCGATGTGCGGGGACGAGCGTTCAACAAGGCCCTGAACTGGTCGGACAGCACCGCCGTGGGACCCAGGGCCTACTTCATCACCGTGACGAAGCCGGCCGCGCTCTCGTTGGAGGCGGTCCAGCTGGACGACGAGGGGATCTACAGATGCCGGGTGGACTTCAAGAACTCGCCGACCAAGAACTTCCAAGTGAATCTCACGGTGATCGGTGAGGAAACTCATTACCGTAACGACCGCGTAACACCGCGCGCGCTCCCGGTATGATTAACTGCGGCCCCGCGGTAACGCGTAAAACGCCCCCGTAGGATCGTCTCGTAGTCCCGCGCTAACATCAGAAGAAGAAGGAGAGCGAGCGGAATTAGCTGCAGTTAACGTCGGCCGATATGCAGGGTCTTTTTTCATCTCGGCGCAAAGTTAAACTTGCCGGAACAATCTCCGTCCCGTCTCGCGCGGTTTCGCTAATTGAAGGGCCCGCCGCTGCGGCAGTCTAACCCACTTTCCTTCGAAGTTCTACGGGGAGGGGAGGGCAAGGGAGGGTCAGGGGAGAGGGAAGGGAGAGGATGAAGTGAAGGAAGCAGGGGATGAATTAATCGAAATTTCATTTTTGCAAGTTTAAAATTAACTTTCGCGAGCTCTCCTTAAAAAGTCGGACTAGACCGACTGGGTCATTATCCGTCAATTATGGAAAGCGAACCGCCGGTTCGCGGAATTGTTCGCAGTGCCGCCGCACCAGCTACTCATTTACGACAGTTCCGGGGTGCAGGTGGAGAGCGTCGCCGGGCCGTTTCAAGTCGGCGTGGAGTTCGGTCTGTCCTGCGAAGTGAGGGGAGGTGAGCACACTGAATCTGTATTCCGATTCGTCTCTTTGTGATTTCTGTCCTTTAGGATAAATTTCGTGCAAACACGACGAGGCTTTACGAGCCCTTATCTGTGCCTTGAACTTCCGCTCGCGGTTATTTACATTATACGCTCTCGGTTTTGCGCTTGTGCATATTTGACATCCCGCTATGAAAATGGTAAATCAACGTTATCGTCGCGGTTAATTATAATTTGGGACACGCAGTGTCCGCGCGTATCGAAATTTCTTTATAATCCCTCTTTACAATTAACATAATTAAATGACAGAGGACGGGAAGTGAGATACGGTATTTCGCAGATAAAGCCAAATTTCTCGTCGCATTTACAGTTTAAAAGTTGGCGATGAATTTATCATTACATGTGTATATATACAGGTAATATAACCACGCGTTCTCGAGCTTGTAAAATTTTATCCGTTAATTCCTCTCCCTGAGAGAAATCAGCTTTCTCATTAATATGTTTAGTCGAGATACGAATCTCGGCGAGAGAGCGACAAATTACCCGACCGGGGGCCCCTCTTTACGCGCTTATAAATCCCAGCGTGACCCCCGCCCCCCTCACAAGATCGCGTGAACAAATAAAAAGCGTGGAGATACCGCGGGGGTTATCGTTAGCAATTAAATACGAGCCCGGCCTCCAAGTGGCCGGGTATTACGCGGCCGCGCCCGATCGGAGACACCCGGTATTAAGGGTAATTATGGCCCCGGTGATTTGTCTGCTGTCACGCGAGACTGATCGACGACGAGGCGAGCGGGTGGAAAAGAGGGTAGGGGGGGGGGAAGTTAATTAGCCGCGTATAATTTCCGTGCTTTCCGCGCGCGCGAAGGGAAACCCACCCCGGTGGTGAGCTGGCTGGTGAACGGCAAGGAGGTGGACGGCAGACTCGAGGAGTTCGGCCAGAACATCGTCGTCAGCAAATTGACGGTGCCGCAGCTGCGCCGGGAACACCGCAACACCACGTACAAATGCCAGGCGGCCAATACGCATCTCATCCCGCCGCTGGAGAAGACCGTGATCCTCGACGTTTATCGTGAGTACCTTTTTTTACCCGATCCCACCTGGCCGAAGAAAATTTCCGTCTCCAGAAACCCTTGTTCTTCGGCAGCGCTTGATCTCTCTCTGGTTCTAGCCAACAGCGCACGCGGCGTGAAAATTTGTGGGAATTTACTTTTTTTTTTTCACGTGTGATAATTTTTCGTGCAAAAGCAAATGAGTTTTAAAGCTGCCAAACGGAGGAAATGTTTATATAAAAAGAGCGAGTGTCATCCAAAAGAGTTAAACGCGTCGTCCCGTTTGACACGCGATCAAAGCGTCATGCAGTCGGCCGCATTTCAGAAAGTCGCGCGTGTGTCGTGATCTCAATTAAACGAGGTAACGAGCACATTTGACAAAAATATGGCATTTATTTGCCGCAATATTGGTTGCACAATCTCTAATTACGCTTTTGCAAAGTTAATCAAAATCCCCGCGGCATTCAACCCGTTAATAATTCATATTAGTTTAATTTCGACCGCGGAAAGTAATCCTTTCGCGTTTCTGGTATCGGCTCGATAAATTATTGGCAGGTTTGTTGAAGGTAGAGGAACGGCGACCCTGGTGCGTGGATAACCAATGGCCCGCGCGCACCGCGAAAATAAATTCAGCTTCCTTTAATTATTCAACTTGAACAAATCTCGAACGAGCGGAATAATCGGTTCATTTTTTTTTTGCCCCTTTCAAACAATTTTATTTATATTAAAAGCGCTGTTTATAATCTTCCAAAATCGATATCGATCGGATTAACGTTAAATGCACTTTATATATAACTGTTTTAATTGAAAATCATCGCCTGCAATCTATAAACGCGATGAGACGTGAAAAAATTTAAAAAGCGATAGTCGTCACAGAGGTTTAGAATGGACACCAGGGAAGATTTCTAAGTATTAATTATGAATTCCTATGGACCTCGTGACTTTTTGACGCGGATCGTGTTGGAAACTTTTAAGGGAGCATAAAAAGCTACGATATTACCCGCGATATGGAGCGCGCAATAAACGCGATTCCGCCGGTTGGTTCCAGTAAAACCGCTCACCGTGAAGATACTGTCGAAGCTAACGGTCATGGAGACGGAGAAGGACTACTCCATCACCTGCGAGACGGCAGGCTCGCATCCCCGCGCACGCATCACCTGGATCGAGGGAAACGAGACGTTCCGGAACGGCAAGGTCTCGATAACGAAATACTTTTCTTCAAACGTCGATGTCGCGCACGTCGACACTTTTTGACACGTTCCCCCGAATTATCGCCGGTCCCCTGCAACTTTCGAACTGTGCCAGCAGGTAATGGAGAGCGGAAACGCGTCGATGGTGCTGAGTACCCTGATGTTCTCGCCCGTCCCCGACGATCACGACAAGATCCTCAAGTGCCGCGGCGAGAACCCGGCCCTGGCGGACGCGTACTTGGAGGACTCCTTCAAGTTGAATGTCGTCTGTAAGTGGCGGGCGCCCGTTTCTTCGGCGCCGCTTTTTATCACGCGACAAATCAGACCTCGATTACCGCGAAATCAATTTGTCGCCGATAACGTCCCGCGAGAAACGTTATATATATCTATAAAATTATATTTTTATATTTTATATCGCTATATTTTATGATCGTCTTTTAATAGCAATTCTTTTGGCATTACGGTATACGATATCGTTTATCTGGTGAGAAGCACATCTGCAATGTAGATAGAAATTATTTAAGCCGCAGGATGTCGAGAAGATATCTCGATCAATTGACGTTTATTGACTGTAACGATATTTCTTCACTGATACTGATTAGCAGGTAATAATTCAAACTCGGTCGAACGATTTAAAATCTGCACACGATTATGCCACGGTATAAATGGCACTCAACAAGTTTCGCCGTGTTTCTCCCGGTGGAAATGTGTGAAAATGGAAATCTGTTAAATTGTTAAATCCATTGTACGCGAATAACCGGCATGCCTTATTAATACCTTCTCGCTCTTTCGCGTTTTCCGCCGGCTTCAATATTTCACGTCCATTTTCTCGAAACACACCGAAATATTTCATTACGGTCGCGCCACGTGAAACATTGAAGAACCCGAGAAATTCTCCGCTTTCTCTTACAGTCCCGCCTAAGGTGCAGCTGCATCTGGGCAGCACTCTGAACGCGGAGAACATAAAGGAGGGCGACGATGTGTACTTCGAATGCAAAGTCCGCGCCAATCCGGAGCATCACAAAATTACTTGGCGCCACAACGTAAGTTCCACCTTCGGCAACGAACCCACTTTAATCCCGGTGTGTTTGCCTCCGCTGAGGCTGCAGTCTCACTTTTAAAATTTCGATCGCTCGAGCTTTGGCTCGAGCCACCAAACAGTTCCCGAGTTTTCTCAAAAACAAAAAAAAAAGTTTTAGTGATTAAGCGCGAAAAGCACACACGCGTACCCACACACACACAGCGGTCCGAAAAATACGAGATGCCCGAACTTTACGTTTCCATTCGCACGAGAATGGGTAATGACTTTTTTATTTCGATAAGGATCGGTTCGAGTCACGATACTTTACGACGGAACTTTTAAAGCGTTATCTGAAACTTGCGAGAAAATGTCAGTTTTACGAAAGAAAAAAAAAACAATTTTGCGCGGGAGGAGGGAGGGCAGCTCGGGAAAATTTTCGTCTCTTCATGTCATACATGTGCATTTACTTCTCCGAGCATGGCAAATATCGTGTCGCCTCACGTTTATTGCGTGGATATTTCGCGACACGACTATTCATAAACGGAAATAAACTTGGCATTTTCTTGGAAAATTTCGCCTCTACCGTCTCCGTAAAGCGGGAAATTTGGGAAAGGTGTATCGAAGCTGGGCGGAATATACATATGAAATATTTATACGGAGAAAGAGAATCCATTAAAAGGGAATCCCCCGGTAGACGGCGACGAAGACGGGTTCGCGCCGAAGACGAAAAGCTTTACACGCGAAATCTATTTGTCACGTTCCTTTCTTATTACCGAAGAAATATGGCGGAAAAAGCTATCGTTCTGGAATCTCTCAACCTCCGTGTTAAACGCGTTAATCCATCAATGACAGGGCGGCGTGCTGACGCAAAACTATTCCGCCGGTATCATCATGAGCACCCAGAGCCTGGTGCTGCAGGGCATAGGGCGCGACAACGCGGGAAATTACACGTGTCTCGCCAGCAACGATCGCGGGGAGACGACGAGCCCGATTGTGAACCTGAGAGTGCAGTGTAAGTAGATACGACAAGTTCGAATCGATAACAAGGACTTCGGAAAGTGAATGTGTAATCTCGACGCGAGTACCACGCCGGGCGATTCGAGGATGAATCGAATTTCAAATTGAAGGAGATCTCCGCGGATAGGGAAAACATTTGCGCCACAAAAAATTTACGGCGCACTTATATTATATTCCGTCACAAATAAATTTGGATCCTTGTACACTTGTTGTTTGTGATATAAACAATTATGAATATTAATATGAATAAATATATGCATTTATTTATATCACAAATTAACGGTGCGATTTATATATAAAAGTAAATTATTGGCATGTTTAATTATTAAAAAGGTATTATTATGGGAGAATTAACCTCCGACCTTTTCACTGCTAAAAGTTACATTTAACGTTGTTTCTATTTCCTCTATATAGTAAACTCCGAAATACGCGTTACACAATATGCCAACCGCGCGTAATTGTGTTCGGGAACGAAATATCTCGGACGTCAGATATGAGGGATTACATTTTAGAAGCCAATTTATTTTCAACCCTCCCGTCTAAGCCCTACGGCGAACAATATAATTCTCCCGATTAAGGGCGAATAAAACGGCTCTTAAACTCGGCATAATGCCGCTGTCGAAGTTCCGCCGATCAATAGTAGAGACGTGAAAAAAGAAAACGAAAAAAAAAAAACACAGGAAGAAAAATTCCACATTTTTATCGTCTGTTCGACCAAAGACGCGTGTTCCCTTTTTCCTTTTCTTCCACGTGCGATCCAGTCGCGCCGGTCTGCAAGATGAAGGAGGTGACGATTATCGGGGCCTCGCTGGAGGAATCCGTGAAGGTGCGCTGCGAGGTAGACGCCGATCCGAGCGAGGTGGACTTTGTCTGGGAGTTCAACAACAGCGGCGAGAACTTCGAAGTCGCGCCGGCCAAGTTTGACGGCAACAACGGCACCACGAGCGAGCTCGTCTACACCCCCGAATCCGAGAGGGATTACGGCGCCCTGACCTGTTGGGGTAGGAACGCGATAGGGAAGCAGGAGGCGCCCTGCATCTATCAAGTCATTCCGGCAGGTGATATCTTACACGTTCATATCGAAGGAAGAGAGAGAGAGAGAGAGAGAAAAAAAGTGGGAGATAGAAACTTATTCGACGGAAATTTATTCGACTGCATTTCTTCTTTTTTTTCCCACTGCGAATCATAATCCGGAAGAAATCCACGCTCCGTCCCTCCCGTTTTCCAGGAGACAAACAAACGCGTCGGGGATTCCGTGAAAATATTTAAACACCGTGCGCGTACTGCTGCATCTCGCGTCGAAAACACGTAATATTTAGATGTTCATATTTAGAACTTTACGCGGATATTTACGCTTTCCTTTTTTCTTCCCCATTCGACTCGCTTGCAGCCGGCTTATCGCGCCGTACGTCACAAACTCGAAAATATTTGTTTTATCGTTCATTTTCTGCGAGACGGGCCGTGTCGCGCGGCCGTTCCATCATAGTTTACTTAAATCGTACCGCTTTTGCATCCGAGGGAAATTCAGACGCTCAAGAAAATGAAAAACGCGCTTTAATTATATTTTTCTTTAGTTTCTCTTTTTCTCTATATACCCTACATGTAACTTTTTTCACTTTCTCGATAGTATAGGGATTAGAACGTAAATTCTTCAAATCTCGAGGTGAAGACGTCTTTTTCGCTTAATACCAAAATTAAATGCGAGAAAAATATGTCTGAGCAGTGAAGCCGAATCCCCTGAACAATTGCACCATCAAGGCGTCGCTCAATCAAAGCTCGGAAATCCTGGAGGTCGAGTGCGTGCCGGGATACGACGGCGGGCTCCACCAGGAGTTCCGGCTGGAGGCTTACGAGGTGCTGACCGGCAACCTCCGGGTGAACGCGTCCAGCGTGTCGGCTGATCTGCCGATCTTCCGGATCGCCGTGGCCGATCTCCTGCCGGCCACGCACTTCTACCTGGTGACCTACGCCGTGAACGCCAAAGGCCGCAGCGAAGTGTCGCTGTTGGAAGACATAATGCTGCGCGATTCCGAGAAGCACACAGGTAGTAATTGAGTTGTAGAAAGGACTTTTCATTCTAATGTTAGAATTGAACTTTCATCTCATGCATGATTTTATCTCATTCCTCTCTTTTTCCTTTTATACTTTATCTATAGATATATTGTCCAGCCATCTATATATATATGTATAATAGGCAATAATAAATGGCAGAAATATAGGAACCCTAAAGGAACGGTTCTTCTATATATTCCCAAACGTTGTTCTAATTTCCGGAAAGATCATTCCATTCTGAAGGTTTGTCCTTTTGTAACTGATTCGACTGAGGAACCCGATTTAGAATGTATATTTCAGGTTTTCCCCCGGGAACAAATTAAATCAGATAAAATTGATGATATCCTGTGGAAGACTATCTTAAAAAAGATTCATTGCAAATAATACAATTCGACAGTTAAAATTGAAACGACTAATTCGAAGATTATTTTAATCTCCATTTCCGATATATTGGCATCAATTAATCATTTTGACAAAACCATGACAGAATAGAAATCATGTCCAATGTAATAATAAATCTAAACAATAATTCAGCTGATTCCACAAATTACAGATCCAATGATTAAAAAAATATTCATGTCATGTCTCTTATTTTTAGTTTATTATCTGCTGTACAGGGAAAATCCATAAATGCTCTTTCCGTTTGGTAATAAATCACGTTTCATCTTTATTAGAGATTTGCAATGTATTCGATTCGCTAAACAAAACTACTGTCATGTGTTCTCATTTTACGAATAGAAAAATACCAATTTATTTTTAATTAAAATATCTTCCACATATTAAAATTTTCTGGAAAAGAAGGAGAATATAGTGCCACTCTATATCATAACTCAAGACAACAGCAATTTAACGCAATCGCTGCCGCGCACCATATAATTAACACAATTAACGGTAATTACAATTCGTCTGATTATATTATGATAAAATATATTTTCTAATAACGTTAATTTTATCCTGCCGCAATTAATTGCGATTAATCTTGTGCGTACGACTAACGATCGTCGAATAAAGTCACCCGAAGCGTAACGAGGGATGAATTTTTATCACGCGTGATAAAGGCAGCGCGCATAGATCCCCATCGCAGGACGAAATGGTTTTTTTTCCCCCAGACACCGGGGTCAGCATGCTGCCGTTGATCCTGCTGCTGGTCGGCTGCCTGCTGGCCTTTGGCGCGACCGTGATCTCCGTGATGCTGATGATGTATCGACGACGCGGCACCACGTCGCCGGTGCACATCGAGCCTTACATGAAGCAGCCGATAATCACGCCGCCGGACTCGAGGAACAATTCGATGCTGGACGTGACCCACGGCGACCACACGTACTTCGTCGAGTACACGCTGAAGCAGGTCACCGATTACGCGCTCAATAATCAACCGGACATCATACAGTCGCCGCAAGGTATCGCCATGATGAAAGATGTCACCTCGCGATCTGACCAAACCCCGATCGATCTAATATTCGTCTAATATCTGTCGCGAGGTAATAGGAAAAAGAAATCGCGTCAACAAAAGTGAGTCGTTTTAAAGATTTATGGAAAGCGGAGATTCGAACGGGCATTCGGGAAGCCTTGTGATTTCTGTCGAACTGTCATTTTCCGATCGTGTTACACGCTATTTTGAGGTCGACACTTCGCACCAAACGTTCCTACCAAATAATAAACTTTTATTTGAATACGGCGAAAGATAGATATTTTCAAAAACTATTTGCAGAAAACGAAACTTATAATTTAAAGAGCACTCTTCTCTGCAGAGTACATTTGACGAGATTTTTTTTTTTTTTTTAGTCACCCCGTCCGGTCTTCGTCCTCAGCGCTTTATTTAAATTGTTCGAAAGCCGTCAATGTAAAGCGGAATAACGTGAATGTTTCAGACCAAGAGAAGATCAAACGCGAGCCACAACTGTTTTTGCCAGTGAGACCGGACACGCTGTTCGCGCCCTATGACATTCACAAGCAGGGACTGCAGACGAACAGATGCAGCGTAAGTCATGCCAAAAAATATACAGCGGTATTTTTTTGAAAAAAAAAGGCAACGGTTGAAATAACGTAAATAATGCACCGTTGCAGTCTGTATAAATTAATCCGATATCAATTTATGTTCTACTACCGCACCGTATACTCGGGAAAGATCCTACTTTAATTCTTATTCGGGATAATTGCCACGGAGTGATGTACGTGTCTTGATCCTTAACGAATCGTATAATGAGTTCTCAAATTATCTCGAAAGAGGGATTAGGATAATTAAGTAAATAATAACGTGAAATGTGCCTTTGACTCTTTCCCCTCGATTCTTCACGTAGATAGGAAGTTTCAATAAGCGCGGCGAGATTCCGAACTCCGATTTGGAAGATTAGAAATTTAATCTGCCGTAGATTGAATTTCTATCGATCGCTTATAAATTAAGCCCGGCTATCTAACCAATCTCAGTTTAGCTGTCGCGCGACCGGCATATAACCGTTATGAATAATATCAATCTTTCCGGAGGTCGGAGAGAAAGCCGAGGAAGCGCGATCGCTATACTACTTTCGATTCCCAATTCTGTTTCTCCGCGCGGCGCGTGGAGAGAGTATTAATTAGATTTAGACCCCGATATCTCCTCTTGACTTAACAGCTGAACCCGTTCTCCGCCAAGTCCTGGGAGCCCATCAGCTTCAAAGCCGATCGCAACCTGATGAAGGAGATCATCATCGCCAATTCCATACCGGGCCCGGAGAGCTGCGTGTAAACTTGATCGCGGGAGTGAATCCGGAGACGCAAACACACATACTTACACACAAGACGATACCACACACAGACACACACACACACACGTCCACACATCCACACACACACACACACACACACACACACACACAGCATATCATAAGGACGATCAATTTCGGAAGCCTGAAAACTGTATCGCGCGCCGTCGCTCGGATGCCACGACGGATACACGCGGATATCAAGGACAAAGTCAACGAATCTCGTGTCTCGCTTGTTAACGCGCGCCGGGGTGACATATCACGATGACGATATCGTAGCAGACATATCAGCATATCGTAGCATATCGTGGCGCGCCACGATCTCTCCCGAGATCATCGAGAGTCTTAGGATTTTCCCCGCCGATCCAGCGCGAGACCGGGGCGAGGAGTCGCGGAGTCGTCGCGAGACGATTTAGTCGCATAATTTAATCGAACGCTACACGTGGTGTACTATTCCAAGTTTAATATATTTTGTGTCAAGTCTTAAAAGGTCTCGTCATTTCATAGCGCCGTATTATCACGACTGATATATACCTTTCCCCGCTTTCTATTTCAATTCGTCCTCTCATTGCTGAATTAATTTTAAATATCGGGAAGAATCTTGTTATTGTCCTGTATGTGTGCACATTATTTATATATTTTCTGAATTATTTTCACCTCAATTTATCTTATTCGTCTTATTAATAATTTATACGTTTTTGAAAAATGATATTGATATACTGAGATGATGGATACGCTCCACATCTATTTCGTCCTTCCGATCAAATTATAATAATATTATAATAATCCTCTTTATAATCTTTCTACCATAATAATATTAGTCCAGACTCAACTCTCTTCTTGATTATCAAATTAGATCAAGCGATTTCTTTTAAGAATAATAAAAAGTAAAGACTTTATGAAAAGATACTGGCTTTTAAAATATGAATTTATTTTCAATATTGTATGCAGAAAGATTTTCGCGTATAATAGCTAATTCAGTCTTTAGTCTCTAAGAAAAGAAACGACTGCGGATAATATTATTTTTTTAATTGTATTTATTTCAAAAAGATATTTATTCAAAATTTTATAGAAACAAAGCATGTATGTATATAGATACGTATGAAGTACATTTAAAATAGTACTTTGTCTCGCGCCTCTTGGAAATGACGGCGTTAAAAATCTGGATTTACTGAAGACATCTCGACAGACAAATATACCGGGACACTTTTCGTATAATTTCGCAAAAAAAAGGATGTGTCTACAAAGCGAGTCTTGCAAATCTTCATTAAAGCTAGCCGGTGGTCAACCATCTTTCATCTCTTCTCGCAGATGCGGAGGTGAGACAGGTTGTGAACCTCGGTTAACTTTAACCCCCGTTTACGGAGACGATCGATGGACAGTTAAAGGGTTTACAGGGTTAAAACAGCGCGCGTTTAGCGTGCGCATATTTAAGAGACGAACGGAAGCAGGTGCGACCGCTTCCGCAGGCCGTCGCGCCCAAGAAGACACCGTACACCAAAGCGGTCCAGACTATCACGCCGACCGCAGCCGCCGCCATTATCAGATGCGCTCGATGACGAACGCGATCCAGGATCCGCAGCATCCACTTGCGGTCCACCGCTCCCCCAGGAGACGCCGCGCGACGCAAAGATGCGGTCGCTGCGTTCTAGACATGCGCGCTTGTCAGAGAACATCCGGGGAACATAATAGAGCCGAACTATTAATTTTATCCAAAAGTGACAAACAATACCTAATAATTCTCATAACCGGTTATCCCATCCTTTAGAGACAAATAATTCCGATTACATTAGTAATCTCTTAAGTTAATTTTATGTGTATCGCGTAACCGACATCGCATCTTTTGTATATACCTACTTTTATTTTTATTAATAACTACAACCAACTTTACTTTATTGATAACCGATTGATCGAGAAACTCTGAATAATCAAAGCCAGAAAAATCTGTCCTTTTCCCACCTCTACTGCGTTCGTTGCTCCAGTTCGCCTCGCGACTGCAACTGCTTCCTGCATCTCGTACGGTTCGTCGTGCGATTCGTTGGACGCCTGCTCTACTTCGCCTTCCACCACGTGCAGATCGTCGTACGGCCCATATACTTCGCCGTACACTTCCTGGACTTCATTGTCGAGCGCTTCGTGCATTTTAGCTTCGTTACCCATCTTCTCGTGCGCCTCATCGCTCGCCTCCCGGAAACGCTCGTACTACGGCAAAAAGGTTTCCTAGGCTCGTATAAAATTGCTGACTGGCTAATTGCCAGAAAAAAGTCTTTTAGCTTTCCGTACCGACAGGAGATTTTATAACGTCTCAATAAAAGATAATATTTCTAGGCGACGATCAAAAATATGTAGTAAATTAAAATGAAACACCGAGAGATATATAAAATCGTTAGTAGCACAAGAGTCGAAAAGGTCAGACGCGAGGGGAAAATGAATACTTGCAAGATTAATCTATCCTATTTAAATTTCCATCTCAATTTTTTTTTTTAAATTCGCCTACTTTTCGCAGAAAAATGATAGCTGATAAAAATTAATATAGAGTATTTATATATAACTTTTTCAGTGCGCAAATTTGAATAATTTAAACACCGTGCTCTCTTTCTACCCCCCCATTTTTTCGCGATAAAAAGTTCTCGCGTTCTTTTTGCCCGCGTCGAGAATGATATTTCTGCCCGCGTGAGCATATTTAATATTTTTTTATCTGTATTTAACTTGTCTGGGAAATACGTTTAATTTCCTCCGGTGCACTTGCGCTTTTCCAAATGTCGCGTCGCAAATTGCACAAACGCTTCGAATTATCGCGTGCAAGAGCAAAATCAACACGCGCGCATGTACGTAAACGCGCGTCCCGCGGCCCGTCTCCGATGCCCGTAGGAGGTGTATCTTAAAACGCGGAGCGAGCGTCGGTTCTCCAAACCGATCCGGGGGATGGATTTTAGCGGCCCGTGCGGGGACGCGTCGGAGGGATCGATCGCGTCCAATTACGGGAAATGCGGGGACCCGTACCTGCATATTCTGCAGTTTACTTATTTGCTGACGGACCAGACGAACCACCTTGCATTTCGCGTGTTGACAGTTCGCCAGGAACTCCGCGAGGCTCGCCGTCCGGTCGTCCCGCTCGTCCTGCTCCAGATACCGACAACTGCCGCATGTACGCGCGTCGCATATCATTTCCGATTGCATATCGGCGTATCGCGGCACATACGCGACGATCCGTGCGATGTAAAAGGTTCATTTTTTTTTTTTTTTTAAGATATAACTCCGCCGCGGACGCAGCTGAAGATGCAAGCGAGTCGGCATGCAAATTGAACGACGCGATTGTTTTACCTTTTATTCACGTTTTATCTTTTACCTTCATTCCAATCTATTTCTCTACAGACAGGAATTAAATTACAGTTAAAGTTAGTTTTCTTTATATTTGTACTGCGCATTGAGTTAAAGTTAATTTTCTTTATATTTTCATAGGTTCTCCTCTTAAAATTAAGCACTTGTAAGATTAAATGATAGACTATGCGATTTTGATATGAAAAGCATACATTTTTAAAGTTGAATTGAATTTAATTTGATTTTAAATATATTTGTAATTTAATTCCCGCTTAATTAATTGCATCATACGAGAATCGTCAGAAATATCTTTTCAGACTGTAAAAGGTGAAGTTAAGAAATAACGCACGGTTCTCCTGATCAATAAAAACCGCGAATTGATGTCAGAACATCGTCAAGGATCATCTTAAGTTCATGCTTTAACATAAACCAAAAGTGCCCATTTCTCTCCCTTGCTTTTAAACCTCGTAAAATATCATTCATAAGAGTTCATAAATTGTATTGTATAACGATTATTTGTAAAAATTGAGCAAATTTTCTAGTTCTTTTTTAAGTTTTAATTTCGGTTCTAATTTTCACTGATCAAACATAATATCATATTTTAAAGTTACACATGTAACTGAAGTTATTTGCAAAATAAATGATTTCAATGTAATGCAGAATTTATTAAAATTTTTGTTAACAAAATTACAGTTAAAAATTAGCATGAAAGACCTTTTCAAAAATAGTAATTTTAATTATTATACCTTAAAATATATATAATGTTTATAAAGTATATTTTAAAGATACACACACAAATATTTTATTATCTGTACTGAAAGAATATTTAGTTAAATATAAATACGGAATTGCCACGCTTTCTCTCATCTTCTCTATGAGTTTGCGAGTGGAAAAATTTGATATGTATTTTACATCTAACCTTATTATTAATTCAGTCTAGGTTTCTTTTCGGGTGGTGGTTTCATGTCTTTCTTCTCGGTCTTCACTTCCTGCTTAATCTCTACGGCTGAAATAACAAAGAAAGAATCAATGATACTGAATAGTATTAAAATAATATTAAAATTAGAAATAAAAGATCAAATAAAAGAATATAAGCTACACAAGCTACGTACAAGCTTCTGTCACTGCTTGGTGCACTGGCTTTGGCACCGGTAAGGGAAATTTACGAGTGAGCTCCGCGAGTAACATATCCACTCTCTGCCGCTGAAACAATGAGCTAGGCTCCTCGCGCACCGGCGTTTCCTTCTTGGCGGCCAAGGCCTTGCCATTCTTGAAGTCCCAGGAATAGCCCTTACTCGGATGATATCGAGAGCAGGAACTTGCTTCGTCGAAGGCGGATTGTAGGTGGTGAACTGTGGACAACTACACAAGATACATCTTTTAAGTATGACAATCTAAAAATGACACCGTCAAACATATACCGTGCTAAGGAAGATACGGAAAATATTCCGATGGCAGCCTAGCATCTTGAAAATTTCAAATGTACATTTTATCTCGCTCACCAGTCTAGAACTCACGACGGATCCTAAATCTGGAGCTTGGTACACAACGCCGGCTATGATGTAGTAATCGGCAACTGGCGATGCTAAAGTTGGCGAATGCCTGTGTTGTTTTCTAATCACGTATAGGATCGGCTCTTGTACGTGCAACAGAATGTACTCCAAGCCGGTCATATTGCTGGAAAATAGCCGTGATAAATATGCCTAACGATAATCACGTTTGACCATTTAATTTGCCAGCCAAATCTCTCGACGAGACTTACGTCAACTGATCGGGACTCAGACGCTGCATCTTAACTATCTCATTGTTGCAAGTTCTGTCGTAGAATGGATTGCTCCTTTCCGAGAAGTAGTCCATAATGTTGCTCGGATTAAGGACCGGAATCCAGGCGCTGTCGTGCCAAGACAGGCCCAAAGGATTCTCTACAAGAGGAGAACAACGGGAATTATCAAGTCTGTTAAGTATTGATCCCGGCAGAGATGATAATGAAAGATCATAGACCTTTACCTTGTACCGGAGTTTTTCCGGGCATCATCATCACATCCACTCAATGGAAATTGCAAAATTTGTGCAAAATAATTGCAGTCCGCGCTATAACGTATTTATATTAATCACATTTCCGTCACATGTGTCATTCTTCTTTTCAGCATTCTGTTTACATCGATCCTCACGCACCTACCGGCGTACCGACATCTTCCCTTCAGTCATATGTATAATCGATAACAAAGTTTCTTCAAGTTTCCTTAGTACCTGCTATAGGTAAAATTACTTTCGCAATTGTCTTGCGCCAATAATGCTTTCTTTATCGTAGGGAAATTATTCGCGAACGTGACTACGCAGTTCAACGTACATACACGTTCGTGGCGCTAGTATGCTAGATTCCCAAATAAAAGGCGAACATATCTACCCTCGGGCTTCGGTGTTTCGGTGCGCGCCGTTGCGCGACGTAGTCCATGTAGCCTGACATCTGACAGGAGTGACAGGTCCGTTCAGTTACATTTTGTTCGCCGTTCCGTTCGCGGTTTTCGGAGGCTGTCAGCGGCGCGTGACAGGGAATGTCTTTTCACGAGTGTCACCTGGACCCGCAGACCCCGGCTCGATCATCGCGATGTGACCGCGATTCCCTGGTCCCCGTGGAAAACGCGCGCGAGGTCTCCCCGCGACGGACGACGCTTCGCCGTCGCTGATTCCCCGAGACGCGGCCACCGGCTCGCGCGTTAAATGAAAAAGGTAAATGAACCGCGGCGTCGAGGTACTCTTCGGGGAAGATTCGCCGAGAAATCCCCCCCCGGGGGGAGGAACCTGGCCGACGATATAATCGCGTCGAATTAATCGACGCCGCGCGGCTCGTCAGCTGATTCGCAGGTTTTTTTGCGCGCTGTCACGATGACGAGCCGTCCACCACGTCCACGAGTTTTTTTTTTTTTTTTTGCACGCATCTCACTTTGCAGGCAGAAAAACTACCGCGAGAATCCACGCCGCTCCGATTTTCACGACGCGAGAACGCGCGTGGGAGTTTTTGTTGTCTACTTGATTTCGATTTATCGGACGCTGGAGTTTCACATTCGCTTAATCGCGACGCTCTATCAATGCATCGCTTTCATAACCGTTTTCCCTCGCTCCCCCTCGCCCTCCTGGATTCACGAGCAATTAAACATGAAGGTTAGAAAACTGTCGTGACAGCTCTTCCCTCCCCCTCCCTCCGTCCCCTGCCGCGAATGTGCGACACGCGCTCGGGAAAGAGAATCGCGAGCGTGTGCGAGAAATGACAGCCCATTTGTTAAACCCGCTGCTTTTCTTTTGTCGAACGATTTACAACTATAAAGTTTTGTTCCATTCTTTTAAAGGTGGAAGTTTCGCTTGTTTACTTGTTAACTCTATCGATCTAAACTGGATCGTTGAACCGATAAGCTCGTGTTATTTACTGTGACATTTACTTTCGCTTTTAATTAAACAGTGAAGGATTGTTTTTACAGAGAGATCGATTCTGACATTTGGCTTTTGCGCGACTGACAATTTGCTTTATTATTGAAACGACGAATCGGCGTTTTTTTTTTTCGAATACATATCGCGATTTTTTTTTTATTTTTTTTTTGTTTATGTATCGAAACATTTATTTCGTTTTTCTAAAGTAGGACATTTTTGTTTGTTTACTTGTCAGATCTAATTGATCTAATCTGAATCGTCAAACCGGTAAACCACGGTAAACTCTCTCATTTTCGCGTGACATTGTTACTTTCCTTTTCAATTGAACAACAAAGAATTTTTTTTATAGAAAAGAGATTGATTAGTTTTTTCGCACGAAAATTTCTCGAAGTTGCTCGTTGTAATTGCAACAAATTAAATAAATGAGTGTCCTGCTCGCATTACAGCTCTCGCGAAGCCTCATCGAGCCGACGTGAGTCCGGATTTAATTTCTCGAGCGACGCGGTTCGGCTACGGTGCATTGATCTGCGGCGTGTTAGCGAGGTAAGCGTCGTGTAATGTTTAGAGAGAATTGATATTTATAAATTGGCAGCTCGATTTACATTCAATTTTTATTCGATTATTCAATTTATTTGATTTATATTCAATGCGTTTGCAGAATGCACTCCGGAGGGGATGATGAAACCGAGAGAAATGGCATTAGCGATAGCAGCCATGTAACGGGGTCATAAACAAGATTTGTAGGTACATTTCTAATTACATTAATAACTACTAATCTATAGATCTTAATTGGAGAAATCCGTCTCTACTCTCGTCATTTATGTAGGATCGCAAACAACTGTTTCCTTCCAATATTTGTTAATTTATGTGAATGTATGGAATACATTTTCTTTCGCTAAAAGATTCTTTCATTAACGATAGCGTGCCGTATATAAGCTATATAATAAATAATAACCATACAATAAAAAGATAATGTCGGTAATGTTGAGTAATTCAATTGGCTAATAACGAAAGGAAAAAAAATTGAGGAGAAAACCGAAGAGCTTATTTCCAAACCGTACTAAATTATATATTTTTTAAATTGCATAATTTTATATTTCTTTCATTTTTCTTTTAACGAATGTAAAAGAATTCTAAAGAGTAAGCTCTTCAATTGTTGCATTTTTCGCTGTCGAACAGATTCTCGAATGCGACGTATCTCGCAGGTTCCGCGATGGAGGACTATACGCCAATTGACGAGGACTTCCCGGGCCGGTTGCTGCACCAGGCCGCGCTCTGGGATAACGCTGAGCTGCTGGAGGACCTGCTGCGTGGCGAGCACGCCCAGTATATCAACAGCAAGGACTCGTGGGGCAGGACACCGATGCACGCAGCCGCGATCACGGATAACTCCCGTTGCCTGGACGTTTTGCTGACTGCCGGAGCCGACTCGAACGTCACCTGCGGCCCCCGCGGTCATCATCGTACGCCGCTGCACGTTTGCGCGGAGCACGGCCACGCCGGCAACGTGGAGAAGCTGCTGAACTTCGACGCGGATCTCATGATCCGCGATGACGACGGCCTGAAGCCTCTCGACGTCGCTGAGAAGGGCAACCACGACTCCTGCATCCACCTTCTAAAAGCGGCGGCCGAGAAGTACGAGCTCGCGAAACAGGCGACCCACGCTTCCTTACGCGCGGCTTGTATTCAGGGTGATACCGTGGCCACCCGGAACATCATCCAGGGTCTGTCGACCGATCTGGAATGCGTGGTGAACATGGCGCCGAACGGCGCCAACACGCTGCTCTTCGTCGCCTGCGAGAGCGGTCACAAGGACATCGTTCGGCTGCTGCTGGACCACGGCGCTGACTGCAGGAGCCATCCGGTAACCAAGTACTGTCCGCTCTACATAGCGTGTTATCACGGCAAGCTGGAGATCGTCGAGTTGTTGCTCCGGCACTTTCCTAAGCAGACGCAACAGTTCACGGTGGAGCGCTGGTTACCGATTCATGCGGCGACAATAAACGGCCATCACCTGGTGATCGATGCGCTGCTCAAGTTTGAGTATCCGCAGCACGTCTACCAACGCTACAAGGATCCGTCCGGCGAATTCGAGTACGATCTACCGTTCGACATTAACGCGCAGGACGTCACTGGCCAACACGCGCTCTACATAGCTAGTATGCTGGGCAGTGTCAAGTGCGTCGAGCTGCTCCTGAGTTACCGGGTGAAGGCGAGGATGACCAAAGAGGAGGATGGCGTGAGTGGCGCGCAGCAACTCCCGGTATCGAAGCGCAAGATCTCCAGCGGTATTCAGAGGCTGATGTCGTCGCTGAATTTCCGCAGCAAGGCGCCCACTGACAAGAAGGACGATAAAATGATATATCCGGTGAATCTGGATCTCTACTGCAACAACGGCAGCGAAACGGCGTTGCACGTGGCTGTCAGGGGCAGACATACCGAGGTGGTGAACTCTCTTCTTCAGGCAGGCGCCAATCTCGAGCTGCCTGTCAAAGTCCCGTACGATCAGAGCGATCCCGACGGTAGTTACTCGAACGTATTAACGATTGCGTGTCAGAATCGCGATGTGAAAATCGCGGACCTACTGTTGAAGCACGGCGCTGTCGACAACGAGTGCAAGGCGCTTAAGATTGCTGCGCAGAATCGCGACGAGGCGTTGACCGCGAAACTATTGTCGATTAAGGCGTATCCGGACTCCGAGTACAAGATCAACAAGAAAGCGATGACCGAGTGCACGCAGAGTTCGCACTTCTCCGCTCTATCGTCCTTCGGCCACGTCACCTATTCCGCTCTGTTCCCGAAGACACCCACGATGATCAATTGGCACAACCAGCAGTGTCGTCTCTCGCAGATCCGGCTGCAGTGGTTGATCGACGCAGTATTGCATGTTAACAAGAAACTGAGCCCGAAAAACAATGACCTGGTGTTGTACGCCATCACGCGAATCGATATCTCTCACAACTCCATCACCACCGTACCGTCCACCATGTTCTATTTGCAGAGCCTGCGGTACCTCAACATGGCACAGAACAAGATCGACACCCTCACGGCCGACTCGAAGAATCCGAAGGATAAGCTGTGCCCGGTTCTAGAGGAGATGTACCTGCAAGACAATCGACTGGAGCAGCTGCCGGAATTTATCATGAACTTACCGGCACTCGAGATCATGGACGTGTCCAATAACAAGCTGCAGTGTCTGCCGCAGAATCTGTGGCGCGCGCCCAAACTGAAGGAACTGAACGCGTCGTTCAATCTGCTGCGCGATCTGCCTAGCCAGGCGTCGCAGAACGTCCTGAGGAAGCCGCAACGAGGTGACGAAGCGCAGCAGAACGGCACTATCTTCCGCGGATTAGCTGTTATACCGCGAATAGAGTCCATGGAATTCGACTCGTTCACGAAGATCGCAAACGCGCAGGTGATCGAAATGGAACGGCCACACGTGTGGACCAGCTCGGTTCAAGTATCAGAGAGGATGACCGACGACACGGAGAATGGCAACAAGTCAGTGCTAGCGTCGTTGAATCTGGCGCATAATCTCTTCAACAGCATCCCCGTGGCGCTACCATGTTTGGCGGTGAGCCTGGTGCGGCTGAACATGGCGTACAATTCGCTGCGCTCGATGAGCCACATTACCTCGTATCCGGCGAGTCTGAAACAGCTGGACCTGTCAAACAATCAGATCTCACGTTGGCCCAGTCTGCCGCAGGTCGACAGTTCCGACAGCATGGAGCAAGCGAATACGGCCTGCTACTGTCCGGCTGTCAACGCACAGTCGCCGGGTATTGTGCCCAGCAACAGGCAGACACCCGCGTCGATGCGTGATATCGTATTGCAGTCGGTGTGCGTGCATAGGCGGCATCTACGACTGGAGAACCTGCGCACCCTGATACTGGCGAACAATTTGCTGAATCGCATCCAGCTGACGTCGTGCGACGACGGCGAGATGCCGTGTTTGGAGGAAGAACGTGGGGATTCGGATAGAGACTCGAAGATTGGACATCCCGGATCAAAACTGTACTTGCTCTTTCCCAATGTCAGTATGTTGGACATCAGCAATAATCAACTGCGCGAGATACCGCACAACATCTACGAGCTGAACAATCTGTCGGTGCTGAATATCAGCGGCAACTACGATATCGTCGAGTTGCCGCCACAGATGGGTCTGCTGGGTCGTCTGTGGAATTTGAACACGCAGGGTTGCCGGTTGCAGGAGCCGCTCAAGTCGATGATCGAGTCGAAGAAATACAAGACGATGGACGTGATCGGTTACCTGAAGTCGATCTTGGAGGACGCAAAGGCGTACGCGCGCATGAAACTGATGATCGTCGGTATTCAGGGGATCGGCAAGACAAGTCTGCTGGAGCAATTACGGCAGGAGGGTGAAGTGCCGAACAAGAAGAAGGCATCCGAACACTGGGCCAAGCGGATGGGCAACAAGAATATCAACGCGAAGACCGCCAAGGGTACGACCATCTCGACCGTGGGCGTGGACATCGGCGACTGGATTTACGAGAAGAAAGTACGCGGACAATCGTCCCACGGGCCAGTCTACTTCAGAACCTGGGACTTCGGCGGTCAGCGCGAGTACTACGCGACGCATCAGTATTTCCTATCAAAGCGCAGTCTGTATCTGGTCGTGTGGCGGATCACAGACGGCTTCAAAGGCGTCTCCGAGATCTTTCAGTGGCTGGTGAACATTCAGAGCAGAGCGCCCAACTCCCCGGTTATCATTGTCGGCACGCATTACGACGTTTCCTATGAGCATAGCGAGGGTCTGCAACAGTACATACGCGATAAATTCATCAACGTTGTCGATGCCGAGAAGTGCGGTCTGCCCAAAGTCATGGAGACGATCGAGGTGAGCTGCAAGACGCGTCACAACATCAAGATGCTGTGCAACCTCGTCTACGACGTTGTCTTCAGTTTGAGATCGCCTGGCAGCAAGGAACTATTGCTGGAGCAAAAAGTTCCGGCGAGTTACCTAGCACTGGAAGATGTAGTAATCCAACTGGCGCACGACAGAAAGCTATCTGGCCTGGACCCGGTGCTAAAGGCCGATCAATATTACGCAGCCGTCAATAACGAGCTTCAAAAGTTACATAGATCCTTCAGAGACCCCGCCGAGTTACATCAGGCGACGTTGTTCCTTCACGAGAACGGTATAATTTTGCATTATGACGACGCCACTTTGAAAGATCTCTATTTCTTAGATCCGCAATGGCTCTGCGACATGCTGGCCCACGTAGTCACCATACGGGAGATCAATCCGTTCGCCAGATCAGGTATAATGAAACTGGACGATATCCAACATGTATTTAAGTCCTCTACGATATCATCGATCGACACCCAGGGCTATATTGTTAGTTTACTCAACAAATTCGAGGTTGCTTTGACATGGGACTGCCGTACGCTGTTGATACCGTCCCTCTTACCGACCGAAGAGGATATTCTGCGCAATAATCAGATCATCAAGGTACCGGTGAAGACGCGCGGCTGGCACGTACGTGCGAAGAAGATTACATCGCCCATGTTTGCGTGCCTGGGTGCACCAACCAGTGACAATAAAAATAACGCTGAATGCGTGCTCACATCGAGATCACAACCCGATTGCTCCGTTACTAGATTGTTGCTCATGTCGTATTTCCCCAGCGGATTTTGGTCCCGACTGATCACTCGTATCCTCGCGGACGACACCATCGTTGATATCGTCATGTCGTTCCTGGCGCCGTTCAAGGACTTTGTCGACGACAACATTTTCGCTAGTCTATTGGATCTACAGGCTGAATGGGTGCTCTGGCAGACGGGAATCGAGCTGCGATACTCGGGCATCACATTGCTACGTTTGAAGGAAGTCTGTTATAATCTGAAAAATTCACCGTATGATTACAGGCAGTTTAAGTTCAAGTTGAAACAAGATGGTATTTGGTGCACGGTAGACCTGAAGAATTCTGCTATCTTAGAGATTTGGTTCCCGGTAGACACTCTGGTGATCAAACAGCCCATCATGTCCGATTCCGTGGACGAGGAGCCGATGGGCTACCAAGCGATTGTGGTGGAGCCACGGCCGGAAAGCATACCGCAGTTAATGGCACTGATCGTTGATCACATCGACATCCTGCTGGAAGATTGGTATCCTACACTGGGCACACGTTTCGTCCACACGTCGGAGGGTAAATTACTGGTCACAAGGTTGATACCGTGTCCGCGCTGTTTGCTCGGCAACACTGAGAACGGTGACGGCGAGTCGAGCGACAGCGATGGCCGGTTGATCGAGGACATTCAGAAGTACTGCGCCGTAAATCGTACCGAGAGACAGAGCCAGGACAGTTACAAGTCCGACGGCGACAGTGGCGTCGGTTATGACAGTCTGACGTCCAGCAGAATGCCGTCGCTCGAGGGGCATCCAGACATGTCGAAACAGCAGAGTTCCTCGCATTCCGAAAACACTCTTGCGTATTCCTGGATGGTGGAGGAGTGCATATTGGCGGCGTACAGCAATAAACCCATCAGCTGCCCGAGGCATTCGGAGATCCCACTGTCGCACGTCGCGCCAGACATCATCTTCATGGATTTGGGTGCCAAGCATCTGATCAAGTCGGAGGACTTGAAGCGGGGCAAGTTGCTAGGTCGCGGTGCCTTCGGCTTCGTCTTTCGCGGTAACTGCCGACTGCCCGGCACGCACGTTCGCGCCGACGTGGCCATCAAGATGTTGCAACCAGTCTCGCCGGGCCCGAACTCCACGCAGTCGGCGATCCTCGCGTACAAGGCGTCACAGAGCAAGTGGGACCGTGACCCGTTGCAGTATGCCTGCAAGGCGTATTGCATGGCGCGTCAAGAGCTCAATATTTTGCTAACGCTCAGGCACGCCAATATCGTGCCGCTGATCGGTATAGTCGTCAGTCCTTTAGCTCTCGTGCTGGATTTAGCGCCTCAGGGTGCGCTGGACGCCGTCTTGAAGAACTATCGTCGCTCCGGGGCTAAGCTGGATCCCTACACGCTTCAGGCGATAATCCTTCAGGTCGCCAAGGCGGTGGAGTACCTACATCAACAGCACGTTATTTACCGCGATCTCAAATCAGAGAATGTGCTGGTGTGGCAGATGCCGTTGCCGTTTCAGGAGAATCCAGACCCGGTGCACGTCAAAGTCGCCGATTACGGTATCTCGAGACTGACGCTGCCTACGGGAGCGAAGGGTTTCGGTGGCACAGAGGGCTTCATGGCGCCTGAGATCATCAGATACAACGGCGAGGAGGAGTACACGGAGAAGGTGGACTCGTTCTCGTTTGGCATGTTCATCTACGAGCTTATCACGCTGCGCCAACCGTTCGAGGGCCACGAGGCGGTGAAGGAATGCATCCTGGAGGGCGGTAGACCGCCGATCATGTACCGTGAGACTTTCCATCCATGCTACGCGCTCGATTTGATGGTGATATGCTGGGCGCAGAACCCGAAGGATCGGCCGACCGCCAGTCAGATCGTCTCGATCGCCTCCGCGCCCGAGTTCACGCATCTGATAGACGTCACCCTGTTGACGGAACGCACGCAAGTGACGGCGGTCACCATGACCAATTGCGGTAACAGCGGGCAGAACGATGCGACGGACAATCTCAACGGTGACGAGATCTGGTTCGGGCACAATAACGGCGAGGTGGACATGCTGCTGGGCACCCAGAAAGGCTGGCTGCGCCACGTGCGCATCGAGACGCCGGTGATACCGTATGCCATGTGCGGCGTGGACGGCTATATCTGGATCGGCGACAACGCCGGCCAAGTGCACGTTTATCTGTGCGGCAACTTTGGCTGCGTGGCCAGCTACAGTCTGGAAGCGGATCACAGCAAGGAGTCCAAGGTGGTCGGGCTGATCCATCTGGAGCAGCTGAAGCAGTTTGCCATAGCCTTGCACAGCGGCCGAATCTTTTTGCTGTCCAACTCGTTCACGCAGATGAGGAAGACGGAGGTCACCGGCGGCAGCGCTGGCACGGAAACGACGCGCCAAGGTGCCGATGTCAAGACCTACTCGCTTGCCGCGGTCTGCCGGAAGAGACGCGTCCTGGAGCTCTGGGCTGGTCAGAGCTATGGCCGGATATCCGTTTACACGTTGAAGGATGGCAATCTAATTGACACAACGCAGCTGTCTCACTGCACCGGGGCTGCCAACGATGCCGCAATGAGGAATCTCTTTGCCACATACCTGATCGGCGCGGCGACCGAGAGCTTCGTTTTCTCGTACACGTATCCGGGCTGCGTGGTGTACCAGTGGGACGTCGACAGCCGGCAAATCGTCAATAAGCTCGATATGTCTAAGCTGGTGCCGTGCTCCGAGAGCCTCAAGTCCATCGCCATCGAGGAAAACCTGTCGACAGAGAAGTGCCAGGTGACCGCGCTCGAGGCCAGCGATGGTCAGTTGTATATCGGCACCACCTGGGGCTGCATCGTCGTTGCCGAGTGCGGCACCCTACGTCCCGTCACCGTGTTCCGGCCGTTTGAGGGCAAAGTCTGTCAGATCGTGTCTCTCAAGTCCGCCGACAAGAGGAAGACGGTGCTGGCGACCGTCGGCCAGGGATATCGCAGCCTGATCACGCGGTACACCGACTTCCCGCTGAAGACTTTGGAGAACGAGGAGCTCAGGCACGGCATGTACACCCTGCTGTGGCGATCGGAGAACTGGTCGGCAGCTTGATTCCCCCGGCGATCGTAAGATCCACATTCTCAGGTGCATTTAGCAACCGTTTTTTTGTTAGCGTTACACGCGATCCGTCTGACTTACACAAAGATAACGATACACACAAGTAAGCTACATTTAAAGCTGAATGCGCAGTGAGAAGCTGGGTCTAGTTTGGCTCAGTGTCCTTTCAATAAATGCTGGTGAAAAGAAGTTTTCGTTGTAATAAGATTCGGTGCCAATATACCAGGTGTTATAAATCATTGTGATGGGACCGCAGGATACTCTTCTTTGGCAGTATAATACCGGAAGTGCTTAAGTGGTGCGAAGTTCAATGGAGCAATATGTGGGCTCAGTGAATCTTATACGTCCAATATTATAGTACCTAGCATATAAGGGATGTTGATTACGCTAATAAGCGTGCTTACGGGAAATAAATTGTGAAAAATTGGAGAAGAGAATGACGTTGCAGGTCTCATAGCGCTCCCGCAGGCACGCTTATTAATGAGCACCCTGTAATAATGCATCACAGGCTGTAAGCTGATGTTCTTTCGTTCGTCCAAGTTACAGCATTACCAAGTATATAAGAGAAACATTCTTATTTTGTATAAAACTAAGTCATAAGCAAATAGTCTAACGGTATTTTAACGTACGTTTTCGCTTGCATAAGTATAATCGGACTCTATGAGAGTCACGCTATTTAAGTATTTATATAACGGAAGGGGAGAGAGGAATATTAATGCAATCTGTTTTTCGTCACTGCAAAACATGGGACAAAGGGGAAGGAAAACATTTTTCGAATATCCTCAACTGATATTAACTGAGCTGTTTTCGATATCAAAGAACTATTTTTAGCACCATCAATTACCTTTTATAATACCGTTAGTGTTAAGATTTCGATAAGTTTTACTGCTGACGCTAACGTCGTAATCTTGAGTCGATATAGAAATACGATTTCTAAACCATACTCGCGTATCTCTCTCTACGATTCAGTTACATCACGTCCAAAGTAATATCTTTCGAGCCGTACTGCGAATTTTATAGATATTAAGTCTAATCGAACCGAAGGTTGTGGGACTTGATGTATAAATAGATTAACATTAATTTACTACAATGTAACACTAGGAAGATACAAGACCACACTTACACACACACAGAAGCGTCTTGCTCAATGAAATCATTAAATTTCTGATCCACGATTTAATTACACGGGAACGATCAGTGTATCCCAAAAAGTAATCGATGTGATATGAAATACTCAGCGAAAGAGAGAACGTAAAATATTGTCACAAAACTGTTATATTTTTTTTTCAATTATGACGCTCTTTAATTGCGCTTATCGACAAGAAATCCTTCAGGATATTTGCTAGAAATTTTATTTTGCTTGCCAGATATTTGTTCCTTTCCATGCTAAGCGTTCGGGATTTTTATTAGCTCTTACAGCAGTAAAATGAAAATAGAAGATAACGATGTAATACAACTTGCACATTTAATTCGCCCGTAACGCATTTAAACGAGAAACGGCATTTAAAGGGCTAAATGGATATTTATTAAGAAATGTAATGTGGTCGGCTGGGAGAATTTTCAATATGTAACATGCGTACTTTTGACTGTTACTCTCGAACCGGCGCGTTCGGTGCAGTGATGCAATATTTTTAGTTTATATAGCGCGTTTTATATTTATTTTTTTTAATTATACTCGTACCTGCAGCGCGCGAAGCGAAACCACAGTGATATACGCAGCTTGTATCCTCTTTTTTTCTATACGACTGTTGTGAAAGAGCTAGAAATTACGTATCGCCCTATTCAATTATTATTAAGTATGCCTTGGAATATGGCGGATGATTATATAATGTTGCAACAAAACGTAATCTACTGCGACGATACGTAATTATCGCGATTGAGAATTCTACGCGATTGATCTCCGTACATTAAGTGCATCATTGTACATTCACGTTTACTTATCACGTGAGGATTACTATGGTTCTCATCTCGTACTCATCGACGTAAGTTATAACTTTGCAGGAACTCATTGTTATTTAATGTATTGATTGTCACGAAATATAAACACTGTTGTTGAGTTAAGAGACTCGTTAGTTCGTTACATATCTATCCAGTTCCGCAACAATGTATGAATGCAATTAACCCTCAGGGTACGGACTGGGTTAGCGTAGCCCGAGCGAATTTTGAAAGTAGCGCCATTTCAAAGGAAGTGAATGGTGTAGGTCCGTACCGGGGGGGAAAAAATCTTTGAGGGAGCTACAAGGGCTGCATTCGAGGAGCGCGCTATTAGCGCTATTGCATCATTAAACTCGGGTAGTCTACACCTAGTCCGTACGGAACGTTACAAAATCCGTGTTTAAAAAAAAAAATTTGTGTTTTTCTAGTATTTGCTGCAGTAGAGTATTCTGGTATGTATAATTTACTATTTTTAATATACTTTTGTGCATTCTAACCTCAAAATAATGCTCTGTAGCATACCAGCATAAAGCCCCTTGCACAATGCCAAGCAACAGGCAATAGGAACAGGGAATAGAAATCAGAAATCATGTATAAATGCAGAATAAACAGTGACACAGGCAATAGACACAGAGTTTCCGTCACGTTGGAAATTTTGTGCCTATTACTTGTTGCCAACCAATCATAGCATTCGAACTTTTTAGGTTGTAATTAACGATTTTTTGGTTATTTCCTGTTCCTATTGCCTGTTGTCTGGCATTGTGCAAGGGGCTTTACGTATCCGTGCATGCACGTTATTTCTCGAAGAGTTGTGCTACTCTTTAGCATAACTCTTCGTACGATGCGTCGATAACGATTTCTAATATTTATTTTTACGATTTATCATTGCAGAGTTTTTTTTGTGAAAATGGCATCGCGTCGGAGAACTCGGAGTGTTGCATTTCTCGAAAAATTATACAGAGAAACCGAGGATGAGAGTGTAATTGAAAACGCCAGCGACACCGATGACGCCGAGAACGAAGAAGAGGAAAGTTCCCACGCTTCGGAAAGTGACGCTGATGAAGATGAAGCAGATGAAGAGTCACTGGCAAGCGAAGGGTCTGCAGCAGCTCAAACAACAGGCCCTCCCCGCAAACGAGGCCGACCCTCATACCTGCGCTCCAAAAGCGGGCACAAATGGTCTCTCTCTGCACCGGAGCAGAGAGGTAGGTCACAAATTTTGTATGAGCCTGCGACTAAAGGTAATGCAATGAACGCTAAAACTCCACTTGAAGCATGGAGTGTTTTATTTTCCGATGAAATACTTGATATTATTGTAATACACACCAATGAAGAAATAAGTAGACAGATCGATGTGCTCAAAGAAAATAACACAAGGATTGACACATCAGTTCACAAACCGATCGATATAGTTCAATTAAAATCTGTTTTTGGATTGTTATATTATGCTGGTGTTCATAAATCAAGTAAATGTAAAACTATCAATTGGTGTGGCGTTCATTGCATGCCTTTATTCAAAGCTACTATGACGAGAAACCGCTTTACATTTATACTAGATTGTTTACGCTTTGACGATAAAAATACACGAGCTGAAAGGAAAGTAAATGATCGTTTTACACACATAAGAGAAATTTGGGATTTGTTTATAAAAAACTGCATGGATAATTATGAACCAAGCACTAATACTACTATTGGTAAACAGTTACTTCCCTTTCGAGGTCGTTGTATCTTCAAAATGTACATACCTTCAAAACCAGATAAATATGGTTTAAAAATTATATCATTGAACGATGCGAGTACACATTATATGATCAATGCGATTCCTTACTGTGGAACTGTAACCGATCGATTAGAAGGTGAACCTATTCCAACTTACTATGTAAGAAAAGTAAGCGAACCAATTTATAACACTGAGCGAAACATAACTTGTGATAACTGGTTTACTTCATATTCGCTTTTAGAAATGATGAAAAAAGACTATAATTTGTCTCTGATAGGAACAATAAAAAAAAATAAACGAGAAATACCAGCTCAATTCAAAAGTGTATCGAAAGATACACCGAACATCCGATTTTGCTATTTAGATAATAAAACGTTGCTTTCTTATAATCCTAAAAAGAAAGAGATTGTATTAGTTATATCTTCTATTCATGAAACGGGCAAAGTTAATGAAGAATCGGGAAAGCCGGAAATGATTGAGTTCTATAATAAGACAAAGGGCGGCACAGATTGCTTCGATTTCAAATGTCACCAGTACACTACAGCTAGAAAAACTTTTAGGTGGCCTCTTAGATCATTTTATGGTATGTTAGATCAAGCTAGTGTAAATTCTTTTGTCCTTTACAATCTAAATCAAAGTAACACTCCAATGAGAAGAATGGAATATATAATGGAACTTTCTATGCAACTTGTAAAACCTACGCTAATTAAAAGATTAGCTACTCCTACGTTGCGATCAAATCTGCGTAGTATGATTAAAGATTTTTTGGAGGCGCGCGATTTACCAGAGGAAATGGACGTAAGAGATGAGTTTGTTGATAATAAAATGGCAAAACAAAAACGCTGTAATTTGTGTCCCAGTTCTCTGGACCGTAAAACTTTTTACAAGTGCCTAAGATGTAACAAGGCTATGTGCAAAGAACATATAGCGAAAATATGCTGTGAATGCGGAAACACCGTGTAATTCTCTTTTTTTTTCAATTTTATACAATAAAAATTTTATTTAATAATCAATTTTTGTTATTTATTTATATTATA